GGCTGAAGATGGATGCCCCAACACTGCAGAGGAACTTTGGGTGACTATCCAGGCAGTCAAATGCCTCTGTTAGTTAATATTACATCTTTCTGGGTCTTTGATGGAGTTTAAGACTAGATATAGCTGCATTTTTCCTTAGTTATGATAGAAAGTAAATCAGTTATAAAACTTTGGATTCACTAAGATAATGCATTTCTTCTCTGAATATGCTAACTACAAATGGACAGAATATTATAAGTGTAATTCTTACTTGATAACTGTTTTTATTGTATATAATTTTATTATGTTAAAGCTAAAACCTTTCTTTTTATTTAGACAACAAAGGAGAACTATTGTAGAATATTATTTTAAGGTGTGTTACATTTGTTTGTTTTTGCTCTGAAACATTTGTTTAATGATGTAAAGATTGCTGCTTTTGTTTATGCTGCGTTTGTTTAACTCTGTGAGGCTGTGATTCTTTGCCTGTCTAAAACAATTCTAATAAAGATGGCCTAATAAAGAGTTGAATGACCAATAGCAAGGTAGGAGAAAGGGTAGGTGGAGCTAGCAGGAAGAGAGTATAAATAGAAGAACTGTGGAAGAGGGAAGGAGGAGCAGGATAGAACAAGGAGGAGCCATGGAGTAAGAAGGAAAGTGAGATACACAGAAGTAAGAAAAGGAAAAATTCCAGGGGCAAAAGATATATGGGATAATTATGTTAAGAAAAGCTGGCTAGAAACAAGCTAAGCTAAGGCCAGACATAAATAAGCAAGAATGAGCCTCCACGTGTGATTTATTTGGGAGCTGTGTGGTGGCCCCCCAAAAGAACAAACAATAGCAAGAGTCAAAAATAGCTAAAGCTTTCTGTAGTTCTTCTTGCTGAGTGAAGTGTGTCAACCAGAGTGGTTGTTGTGAAAGACTTGCTGCCCCACTGTCTTCCCTAACACTCAGTGTAGCCACTGGCCGGCTAATAAAGACTTTCTATTGGTTTAAGTCCATGTCTGAGCAGTATTCTCTGACGGACACTCTAAAGTACCACAGCCCTTTTTGTATTTTTGACTCTAAATCCAGAACCTCGTGACCAAAACTGCCCAGTTCTGCCGCTTGATGGGGCAGGAACTCGCCCCTCATTAGAACACACCTCCTTCAGCTTTCTGTGGTTTGCTGCACTGGTTGAGTTCTTCCTTAATTTTTTTTTCACGAGTTGGAAGCTTAGCTGGGTGGGGCTTTGCCTGAGGTCACCCCTACCTTTATGCCATTCAGATGCAGGCTTTTCTTTGAGGCTTTGTCTCCGTGAGCACTGGACTCAGCCCCACTACAGTTCCTGGGGCTCTTTTCCTCCTCAAACTACAATTTGAACTTTTCCACCCTGATCTTGCTCCTTTTCATTATAGACCTCCGTAAGAGTGGCCACTGATAACCACAGGACACTAGGTTGTCTTGAAATCTCCTCTGCTAATGAAATTAAACTCCAAAACTCTTCCGTCTAGCCTCAGGCAGATTGTTTTGGACAGGGGCAGAAAGCAGCCACATTGTTTGCCAAACTATCACACCAATGGCCTCTAGGCCACTTAGTAGTGGTTTTCTGCTCTGAAAGCTCCTGAGCTGGGAGCTCCCACAGTTCAAATTATCCTCAGCACCAGTGTCTTCCATGCGCCTACTTGTATGGCCCATTAAGCCCTGTTAAAATGTTTAACTAAGCCAAACATCCAATGTTTACATTCTGCTAACAAAAAGCATGGTGAGGTCTATCACCTGTTCCCTGGTAACAACTTCTGTTGTTGTGAAACAAGTCAGGACCACAGCAACTCTTACAAAGGAAAGTATTTATTTGGTACTTGCTTAAAGTTTCAGAGATTTAGTCCGTCATCAGCATGGTAGGAAGCATGGAGAATGCAGACAGATTGTCCTGGACAAGCACCTGAGAGGCCTGCATCCAGATCCATGAGCAGCAGGAGGAGAGAGTCACCTCCAGTGACATTCTTCCTCCAAATAGGCATCACCTAATAATCCTTTCTAGTAGTTCTGCTCTCATTGACCAATATTTAAATCTATGAGCCGTTGTAGGCCATTTTCATTCAAACCACCTCACCCCTAAACATCACTCCTGTGCCTAATCACCAGCAGCATAGCTGGCTCCCACCATCAGTTAAGGTATGTTTCAGGCAGTGTGCTGAGTATTAAAGCATCCACATGACATGTCTGACTCCTTCTTGTTTTCACAGCCACCTTCCTCTTTCACACAGCCCCAGCATATCCTCTGTCCCTGAGAGGCTTGTGATTTAGGCTTTGAGCATCTTCCTGCTGCAGTGACCTTTCTTAACATTCCCCACCTACCTTATTTTTGAGATAGGAGCTCCTGTAGGTGATGCCAGACTTGCTAAGTAGTCTAGGCTGTCCTTGAACTTCTGATCTATCTGCCTGCAGCTCCTAAATGATAGGATTACAGGGATATAGGTCATCACACCTGGGAACTCTTGCACAATGTTCAGGTTTGCATTTCTCTCCCAGTAGGATTTTTGTGCCTTTAGTTCAAAATCAGTCATCAGGACCAGAAAATGATATGTTTTGTCCAATATAACAATATGGGATTATCCAGTAGTATGAGAACAAGCCAGAGCACTGGAGTCTGTGGCACCAAGATTGTCTGAGAGATCTAGAATAAAGAGAGAGCTAGGACCAGAGCAATTCTATCTATCTTCTCAGCCACTGAGGAGGCTTGAGGCCAAGACTTTGTGTCAGTCACAGTAACATAGCAAGACCCTGTCTCCAACAAGGAGGAGGAAGAAGGATAGGAATAGGGAAGGAAGTAGAAAGTGAAAGAGGAGGAGGAGGAGGAGGAGGAAGGGGTTAGGTCTCTAACTTGTAGAATCTGAGAAAGAGACTTACCACCAAATATACACCAGCATAATCACATGCTATTCCAAGTTCTATTTCTGGGAAAGTTCAGTTATGAAAGCAGGATGCAGAAAAGGTTCCGGACGTTATTTTGGAGAAGCCACTTTTTTCCTCTTTCCTACACATGATGGGACAGAAGGTTACAGATTTTTGGTCACTTGTGAAGAGTCCAAGAATAAGAAAATAAATATGTAGATTTTAAAAATGAAAATGTAGAAATAAAGCTTTCTGTTATCTCCTAAGTTCTCAGCCTAAGAACCAGTTAATTCTAATTTGTTAATCTTATGGTATTACTTGCAGTCCCTTTTCTTGCTAAAGACATCTGTTTTCTTGCAATTAGTGACTTTCGCTGTAATCTCCTCTGAAACATACTTCATGATGGCTGCCTAGTTACCCATTGACCTTAGAACCCCCTCCCCTCCTGTGATCAGGGCAGGATCGTAAAAATTCCTTTGTTCAGAACTTAACCTACTATAAAAAGGTGGGTTCAGAAACCGGCCTTTGGCCATAGCCTAACAAACCATCTCTGGCTGTGATCTCAGCTAGCTGATAAGCTTCTGTACCACATGGTGCTTTTTATTTTTATTTTTTTATTTTTTATTTTTAAGTTTGCTTCTGGTTTTCCTAGGATCTGGTTTCAGAATAAAGTTTGCTTCTGGTTTATTAGAATTGGTGGTGTTCTCATCTTTGCGTGATCCCCCTGGACCCAACAACTTGGTCTGTTATGGCATTTTTCTACGTAACATGTCACCCAGTGGTGATGTCTAGAAACACAAAAAGCTGATGGATTTGTTATAAGATCTAGGACTGAAAGAAGCAGGTAGCTGCCAGAAGAAACTCTAAGATCAACACTTTGTTCATATGCTTTAGCCGACATACGAGACGACCGTAACAGAGGATAAAAAGCATGAGCCTTGAAATGGTCACCTCTCTTCACCTTTACATAATTCCCCTGAGGTGCTCAAGTGGTTTGCTGATGGTTTTGTTTTGTTGACAGGGTCTCACTCTGTAGACCTGGCTGGTATCAAATTCACAGAGATCCTTTGCCTCAGCCTGCCAAGTGCTGAGATTAAAGGTGTGAGCCACTACAACAGGCTTTCAGGTTCTTTGTGTTACATATTTTTCCTTAAACGGCCAACCTCTCCGCAGATGCAATAATTCCAATCAGACCAAATTAGACTGCATTAGAAGACACTCAGGTTTAATGGCTGCCAGCATTCCCAGGTCCCCCGCCCCCATCCGGGAAAACATGGAGAGGGGAACAGAGAACCAAAAGACCATGAAAAACCTGGAGACCACGTGTCCATTCTAGGAGACCACGCATTCATTCTCTGGAGGACAGTTTAAATAGCCTGTGGGAGTGGACTTGACCTTCCCTGGGAAGGGGTCACCATTTAGTGGGCTTTCTTGACCTTCCCTGGGGAGGGGGTCACTATTGGGTAGGCTTTCATGCAGGTGAAGTTTGGACTGAGGCAACTCCCAGGGGAGGGAGCTTATGCCAGGAGCTGTGGTGAGGCCCCCTAGTTAAACAATCCAGGCATTTTTGAATAAGGATGATAGGGGCTGAGGTGATGTTTTTAACTAAATATCTTTTAGACTCCTTGTATATATGAATGCCAGGGGGCTGAGGTAAAGCTCCCGGCCAAACAATTTCTAAAATTGATGTATAGGGCAAAGGTCAACAAACTTCTGCTTTCTGCAGTACCCACATATTGCACACATTAGTCTCCCCCCATCAGCCCAGTGGGGAGCAACAGAAAGGAAGGTCCTGACTCACTGTGGCACAGACAAGAGAAAAGACACAGGATGGGAATGCAGTTTGGTTGGTAGAGCGATTGCTGAGCGCACCAGGTCCTGGGTTTTATTTTTGCACAAATAAATCTAGTTTAGTGGGAAGAGAATCAGGATTTCAGGTTATCCTCAGCTACATGGCCAGTAAGGGGCCAGTCTGGGCTGATGGGACTTTGTCTTGAACAAAAGCAAAAAACGAAAAACTCAAAACAAAAAGTGATAGAGAATAGAAATGGTGTATTTAAGTAGTTTATCTAATTTAGGTAGTTCATAAACCATTTGGCTTTCAAACTAACCTGAAACTGAAAGTCCATTGTCCACAGAATAAAAAGGCCACATCAGTCCTTCTGTAACACTTGCTTTTAGAAGAGGCCAGAGACCCAGCCACCACAGATCTGCTCAGGTACCCCAGAATCTGAACTCTGTCCTCTGAAGGGAAAGCCTCTAAAGTCGAGGGGATACAGAGGAAAATCTGAGGGCTACCATGGGTGTAGAATTGTGGGTAGTGCGGCGGTGTCTACGACTCAAGGGTTAGAGCCAGAAGGTCAGTTCTGGGCAAGAAACAGCCAGTGTGGGGAGATGGGTCAGATCAAGATAAAGGAAAGACAGACAAGAGGCTATCAATCTTTCTAGAGACTTAAAAATATAATGCAGGACCACACAGTTTCTCTCCCAGGTCCTGTAGGAAACAACTGGTATCTGTGTACATAGTCTCTGATGGAAATACACTTCTTTCTGTACTTCCTAGGTTTTCAGGAAAGAAAAGGGATATTCTCAAATAATCTTATTTTTCTCCATACAAACATTCATTGGCTTCTATGATCCTCTTTGCTCTATTTATTCATTTTTAATTCAAGAATTTTAAAAGGTATGTTGTTGCTGTATGTCCCAGTCTAACTCAGATCTCAGGATCCTCCTGCACCAGGTCTCCTGTGTGTTGGAACCGTAGGCTTATTCTTTTATTTTAATGTAGGATCTTGGAGATCCATAAAGCAGGATGGAAGAAGAATGGGAGTGGGTGAGGAGAGAGGGGGTAGGGGTGAAGGAAAGAGAGAGACGGTGTTTTCATTGAGGTCCAAGGTGTTAGCTACATAATTTCCAGGGAGATTTTAATCGGCAGGCACAAATTCCAGGAGTTCATTCTGGGGCTGAGGTGACGCAAGCTGCAGCTTCAGTCTGTGTGGGCCGAGGGGCAGAGGGGCCAGTGAAGAAGGCTGTCTATACATAGCCATCCATAGGGAAGTAGACACCAGTCTTGTGAAAGGCAAATCTCCGGTTCAAATCACATGAGGAACTAGGGAGGGGAGGAAAGACCTGGAAGCTTACTGCAGGCTGGCTGAGCCATGCTTCCTGAATGAGAAGCCCTGATGCTGACTGACCAATGCTACAGGATCTCTTTCTACTGGCACCGCTATCTGGGTTTTCTCAGACATTCTGCCTTCAAAACAGAGTTTGAAGCTTAAGTTTTAAGACAATAAAAGGGGGAAGGGGAAGTTCTAGCTGAGGCCAGAGAAAGAGCTCGAATGTGGAAATGTGTGCTGTGTATTGAGGCTTCGCCGTTCAGATGCTTCCCTGGCGTGTACAATATCCTGGGTTCACCCCTCAGCACTGATCAATTGGGATCCATGCATGGCGTTACCTCCCCAAAAGCAAACTATGTACTGGAGAAATTTCTCAGCGGTTAGAGCAAGGACTTCCTCTTGTAGAGGAATCAGAGTTCAGTTCCACCGCCCATGTCAGGAAGCTCACAAGTGCCTGTAAGTCCTGCTCCAGAGGGCCTGACACCTTTGGCCTCAGAAGGCACCTGCACTGAGGTGTACATACACCCCAACCCAGGACTTGCAGTCATACTTGTCATTAAAAAAGAAAAATAAATATTTTCTTTTAAGCAAATTGTATCAGAATTAACTAACAAAGGAATCATTAGAAATGTTAAATGCATTGCTTTGAAACTGGGGTCCACAAGTCTCTGTTGGTGACAAGTTTCCACAAAACTTCTCATACAGTCTAACTTTAGGAACCTTTTTGAATAAGTAGCCAAATTCTAAGTGGCTCCAGGAGGTACTCAAAAACAAAGGAAAGTGCCTGCATTTCTATTTCTGGTCAGAGCTTAATTTTTCCTTTGTTTGAGAGTCTCATTACATCCTAAGCTGACCTGGGACTTGGGATGCCCCTGCCTCCACCTCCCAAGGGCTATGTTGCTGCCATACCTGGATGTCTAAAAGGATTTTAAGAATTTAGAGAGGATATCTTATGTAGCTAACTATGGTTATTTTACAACAATTAATAATGGTTTAAAGTTGAGGACGTACGGAAGGTGGAACCCTCCACTGCAGGGTTGAACTCCTAGGTCAGTTGTTTCCGCAGTATCCCCTAGAGGCAGGGCAAGAGAAGCCAAGCTGTGGAGGAGGAACCTTCCCAAAAGCAACTAGTTAGCCACAGCATGCAGTTCCTCTGCCGTTCTCATGGTGTGGGGAGAGCCTTTATGTCAAAATGCTATTTCAAGTAACACAACAGGATTCGTTGTGTGTGTTGGGGGGGTGGGGAGTTTTCGTAATTTTCCAAAAGCCACAGGCAGGAATGAAGGGATGGGTTCACATCATTGAGCAGTGACCTTCCTTATCAGTCCATGACTTGTCTTTCAGTGTATACATTAAAGTTCTACCCCTCAAAAAGAATTGAAAACAATACATTTTCATAAGACACAACAATTAATAAGGTTGATGGTGTTAGTCTGCTTTTTTCATTTCATTTTTTTTTTATTTGTCTGTGTGAGCACATGCACCTCTGTGGGCAAAATCACACAATCTCTACCGTAATGGTAGAGAAGCCATTGCCACGATGAAAGGGAACACATGGCTAGAGGAAGTCAGAGAAACTCTGGGCACAGACTTGTTCTTCCCAGAACTGAACAGGATCCCACTTTCTTTTTTTTTTAATTGGTTTTTATTGAGCTCTACATTTTTCTTTGCTCCCCTCCCTACCTCTCCTTTCTCCTTTAACCCTCTCCCATGGTCCCCATGCTCCCAATTTACTCAGGAGATCTTGTCTTTTTATACTTCCCATGTAGATTAGATCTATGTAAGTCTCTCTTAGGGTCCTCATTGTTATATAGGTTTTCTGGGATTATGATTTGTGGGCTGGTTTTCTTTGCTTCATGTTTAAAAACCACTTATGAGTGAGCACATGTGATAATTGTCTTTCTGGGTCTGGGTTACCTCACTCAAAATGATGTTTTCTAGCTCCATCCATTTACCTGCAAATTTCAAGATGCCATTCTTTTTCTGCTGTGTAGTACTCCATTGTGTAAATGTACCACATTTTTCTTATCCATTCTTTGGTGGAGGGGCATTTAGATTGTTTCCAGGTTCTGGCTATGACAAACAATGGTGCTATGAACATAGTTGAGCACATGTCCTTGTGGCACAATTGAGCATCCTCTGAATATATACCCAAAAGTGGTATAACTGGGTCTTGAGGAAGGTTGTTTCCTAATTTTCTGAGAAATCGCCACACTGACATCGAAAGGGGCTGTACCAGCTTGCATTCCCACCAGCAATGCAGAAGTGTTCCATTTTCCCCACAACCTCTTCAGCATAAGTTGTCATCAGTGTTTTTGATCTTGACCATTCTTACAGATGTAAGATGGAGTTGTTTTGATTTGCATTTCTCTGATGACTAAGGATGTTGAGCATTTCCTTAAGTGTCTTTCAGCCATTTTAGATTCCTTTTTGAGAGTTCTCTGTTTAGATCTGTACTCCATTTTTTTTGATTATTTGTTCTTTTGATGACCAATTTCTTGAATTCTTTGTATATTTTGGAGATCAGACCTCTGTCTGATGTGGGGTTGGTGAAGATCTTTTCCCATTCTGTAGGCTGTCATTTTGTCTTGTTGACTGTGTCCTTTGCTTTACAGAAGCTTTTCAGTTTAAGGAGGTCCCATTTATTAATTGTTTCTCTCAGTATCTGTGCTGCTGGGGTTGTATTTAGGAAGCGGTTCCCTGTGCCAATGTGTTCAAGTATACTTCCCACTTTCTCTTCTATAAGGTTCAGTGATCCATTTGGACTTGAGTTCTGTGCATGGTGATAGATATGAGGATCCCACTTTCATTGTCTTGTATTTGTTTGTAGATGTTCTTGAAGTTGAAGATGAAATCTCTTTCTGGACTCAAAGATTCACATCATCTGTTCCTCCTGACTTGGTTGTTAGTCCAACAGGTGATATGCTCAACCCACATGCTGTTGACCTTGCTTTCCCCTGCCCCCATCTGAGTGATCTGTGGCTAGAGGATGTCAGAGAGCATGAATGTTGAGAAAGTAATTTAAGGATAGTATCAGTAAGATTGTTGTGTATGGTAAATATGAGCAGTATATAATGCTATACATATAATGAAAATGTCATTGCAAGGCCTGTTATTTTGTGTACTGACTAAAAATTTAATTGAATAAAGAAAAAAGTATAGTATCCATAAACATAAAATAATCAGAGACCTCAAGTTTGTCTTTCTGTAGCCCTCATAACACAATGAGATTGTGTCCAGGCATGTGCCATATATGAGGTCGGCATATGTGACGTCTCATGATGAAGGCTCCATACAGCACCCAGCATGCGCTGATAACTTAGCCAACTTTGCTAGTAACAAAGAACCCTACTTCTTCCTTTCAGGTGACAGGCCTGACTGAGCTTTCCAACCTGAACATGGCCCCCGATGCATTTGATGACCAGTATGAGGGCTGTGTTGAAGAAATGGAGAAAAAAGCACCCGAGCTGTTAATGAAAGACTTCAACATGAGCAGACAGTTAAAACTGGAGTGGGAAAGGGCAGGCCAAAAATGGGAGAAAATAAAAACCAGGATGAGCTATCCCAAAGGTTTCCATGATTTCCATGGAACGGCTTTAGTGGCCTACACTGGGGACATCCACAAAGATTTTAATGGCGCTGTTAGAGAATTCAAGAAAAACCCCGGTAACTTCCATTACAGGGCCTTCCATTACTACTTAACAAGAGCCCTCCAGCTTCTGAGTAACCAGAATTGTTATTCCGTTTATCGAGGCACCAAGGACAGGTTTCATTACAGTGGGAAAGGCTCTGTGCGATTTGGGCAGTTCGCTTCCTCGTCTTTGGAAAAGGAAGTGGCCCTTAAGAACTTTAGTGGTGCTGCTGGGACGCTGTACACCATCAACACCTGCTTGGGGGTGTATATAAAAGCATTTTCTTACTTCCCTCGTGAAGAGGAGGTGTTGATTCCAGCCTATGAAGTATATCACAAAGTCAGTGTAACACGAAGTGGAGAGGGGTATGACAAGATTTCCCTGGACTCCCCGCGAAGAGAGAAGAGCAACTTCAACTGCTTCTATAGCGGTTCTACTGAAACAGGTAACAGTCATTTAAACAGCTCAGGTGAGTCTGCGTCTGTTAGAGGTGGAGCTGGTGGGGGCCATCATGAAATGGAAGTCGGGGGGCTCCCTACCAGAAGACGCTGGCAGACCATGCGCACGGTAAGAGTGCCTACAAGGATGAAGGTAGCGTTGGTAAGGCCAAGGGTCACATACCTCAGTGATGGTGTATCAGAAAATGTTGAACACAGTGAAGGATGGCAGGACAAAGCTATTGCCGTGTCCAGCCCTGTGAGGAGTGAGCAGTGCTTCCAGTGGTATTCATCCATCCTTTCAAGACGAAGCTCCCCTGTGGCTGGGCGTCTCTGTGGATGTATATCCATCTTTCTTGTGGCCTGGGTTCTCCCTTTATCCCTTGACCACATTTCAATCTCTGCAAGCAAAAACACCATCAATTTTAGTTTGGTGATTACCTTTCAAGACACAGTTCAAGTATCACTATCATAGTAATCTTTCCTTAACACTTCCAGAGAAAATTGCTCTCTGTTATGGGTTTGGGATCAGACTCCATCATAATCTGTTTCAAATATCGTTAGCCTGTGACTCTTTGAAAGTTACCAGATATCTGTGCCTCAGTTTACCCATTTGAATGATAAAGACCCATATGACAAATATTCTAGGAGTATTAATTTGAGAATTAAAGAAAAGCATTCAGGATATATTAATTAGCGTGTAGATATCATCCCAGAAATGCTTCTTATTTTTAAACATGAAGAACCATGAACACATCTCAGACATCTGAGCCAAACCCATCCTGGAGACCTTGTCTCCACTGCCCACTACTCAGCCGCTGCAGTAGCTGGCGAACGCATATCCAGGCTCCACTAAATGTTGTTCTAGGAAGTTAAGTTTGGCTGAGAGGCCAGGGAGCAACCAGAAATGAGTTGCAGTTAGCCTGCCGTGTGCCGGGCAACCACAGCTCTGACTAGTTGGGACGCTCAGACGGCTGGAAACATGGAAGTCTTTGGAGCTGGAAGTGGAGCCACAAGAAGTGATCACAGGGACATTGTGCATTTGCACAGAGAAATTCTGCATTTGGATCAAGGCCTAGGAAAGCATTGACCGCTACCCAGGTACACATATCAGCTAGAAAGATTCTGTTCATTTGGGAGAAATGGTTGCTGTCCAGTCCAGGCACACTGGGAGCCACAGGTGGGTTCTATTTCACAACCGCTGGCATAAAAGGAAAACACACCGCTGTGACCCTAGACTCTCAGATAGTTCGGACTCAGAAACCAACCTCTTCTTGGCTGAAGAAGGAAAAGCTCTCTGAAGAGGAAAGATCTTTTCCTCCCCAGTCAGTGTCTTAGAGCACAGGACCCTGGAAGAGGTGGGATCCATCTGTTTGCTCGCTTCCTGGTACTTGACCATTTTAGGAATCCCCAGAAAGCCAGAAGAGCCTAGCCTGGCATAATGGCCCCCTAGAGCCTACTCTCCTGGGTTTCGAGATGGGTGAGAAGTCCTGACTGTTTAGGGGAGATACCTGTGTCTTGAGATATCCCACATGGAAACCTTTCTTTGTCCTCCCATCTACAGGAGCCAGAAATGGCTGTGCATTCCTGCTGCTTGTGATGCTACCTGGACTCCTGGTCTGGCTACTTCCTCTTGTTGATCTGTAGCCATTTCCTGCCTGCAGTTTTTGGGTCTGAGTGTTGAAGGGAGGCCGAGAGACAAGAACTTGGCTGGTTCTCTAAGATATATGGTAGAAGGAAGGGTGGGATCATTTTGGGGAGATCTACTTTCACACTCAATGGTTTCTGTAGACACCCTGGAACCTCCTGGGTCTATGGGTGAAACTTTACTCTCTAATTTCAGATTTACTGCCTTTTTATCATTACTGTTACGAAAAGCAATGTTTGTCTGTCTGATCAGCACTAACAGTTTTAAAGTATGCAATATATGATGAATGCTACAACTCAGAGAAATAAATGGTTTATAGCCACACCTGGCTTTCTGTGACTAGGTATTTGTCTCAGTTGTACTGTTTGAGAATCTCTCCTAAGGCATGAGGTCTGATACCCACACTGATGCAGCTGAGAAAGTTCATGTTGTGCATTTCTCAGAGATGCTCCTGTAGCGGGGGCCATGTTGTCACCCCATAAATGTTTTGCAAATGGAACTCCTTAGATGGCAAGGCCCTTTGGAGAGACCCATTCCTTTGGTAAGGACCTAAAAAATAATATTGCAAACCCCTGCGCTGATCCTAGGGAGCTCATGAGCTTCAGGTCTCTCTAACTTTCGCTGTTTATTCTGACAGTGACTCTTAGTTTTGCTTTGTTAGTTGTGTTTGTGCCTGAGTTTACTGGGAACAAAAACTTCTGCAGAAAAATTCAATTTCTCTGATCTGTTACAGAAACCAGTTTCTCCAGTTGCCCCTGGATGCCTTTGCAGCCATCTTGGGTGAGCAGAAGGAACTCGCTAAGGTTAATACGATCATTGCTTACTCAGTTCCAAAAAGAGATAAACATCCTCCATGGAACTTAAGAATCTGGAAAATATTTTTTAGAATATGACATTTAAAACTTATAGACACAAATAAGGAAAAGGTAAAGGCCATGAAAGGGCAGACACCTCTCCGGCGTCAGGACATGAACACTTAGATATTTTTCCAATATCAAAATATCAGTAAAGGAATCTAAAACTCCCAGTTCCCTTAAAAGAAAAGAACATGCAAAAATTTTTGGAAGAACAGAAATTTAGTCCCAGCTGTTAGAGTTAGGTATCAATCATTACTATTTTGAGAATTTATAAAGATTAGAATTATAACTGTAGTCCACATAAAAGTGATATACAGAATATTTAGACACTGGCATATGCTTGAAAAAGATATCCTGGGCGTGGCAATACACTAAGATGATTATAAAAACATAAAAGTATCACATTAAGGTCTGGAGGGATGGCTCAGTCATTACAGGTTAGGCTCACAACCAAAATATAAGAGTTTGGTTTCCAGCACCTACGGCTGTCCCTCCAGGTACAAAAAAAAAGTATCATGTTAAGAACTAAGCATGGGGCTTAAATCTCTTTTACTTTGTAACCACATGTTTGTTGCTGGCTAGGGCATCCGTGTTGCCCTATAATGATATGAGGTAAAGGTCAGTGATGCCAAGGGAGTGGGAAGGAAAAAGAGAAACTAAAATGAATATATGTTGACAACTCCTGGAAAAAGATTGAAGAGAATGATCTGAAACTGCTCGTGACTGGATGCATCGGAGCCTGTATAAATAAAGACAACCTGAGCTAGTTGGGGCCATTGGTTTGAAAGACAACCAGTGGTCAGATGCCTTCATTCTTTGCCGATCTCACACATCCATCCTGCAGCAGAGAGCCCTGCTGGAGCTGGATTCCAGCACTCCTGCAGGATGGATGGAGTGGGCCATAAACGTAAGTCACTTGCCACATCCACGGCTGTCTCGCCTGTGTGACAAAATGCCTCTCAGGTGGTGGCTGTCTGGAAATGAGGGGCTCGTGCTTCCTGGAGCTTGGCCCCTGGCGGCTCCCTGGCAGCCTGCTCGAGGTGTGGTGCCTGATCAGCCTCAACGACCGCGTTCACTTTGTTCCTGGCGATGGTTTCTTGCATTGGCTCTGCTATTTTCTTCTTCTGTTCTACTTTTCTCTTGATAAAAACCTAATCTGTTCAAGGAACCAGGAAACGTTCCCAACGGCTCCTTGTATACGGAGGAACTGATGCGCCAGTCCCCTCCCTTGATTCAGGCCATTAATGTGATGATTAAGACTCCGGCTCGCTCTCTGGGGGAATTTATGGATACCCTAGAACAGAAAGAACTCATGATGGTAGAAGATGGGTAAATTATGAAGGAAAACTTATGGAGTGGCATGAGTTAACATTTATGGAGAGGCTAGCCAGAGTGAGAAACCCCTGGTGCATTTTAGATAGGAAAGAGAGGCAGGCTATTCTTGACAACATGAAGCCAGCCATTCAATGTTGGAGCAAACCCTGGGGGCGGAATCCTTAAGAATAGTATTTGGGTTACCTTGAGGGCAGATATGATTTAGAGCCATGAGAAAGCGCAGTTGGTTAGTGGTGTGAGACAAATTTCAAAGAAAAGCTCTGCCTACCTGGCCCTGACCACAAGACTTGCTGAGAATAATCAACTGCCTGTAATCATTTTTTTATATAAGCTTTTATATCTGCCAACTTCCTTCTGTAATCTCATAAAAATGATGCTTGAATTTTAGAAAAATTGCAGCAGATTCCAACCTTATTAGAGTTGTGTCTGTCTGTCATTCGCAGAACTTGTGCCTTCCTGTTACCAAGACCCTGCTTCTCCCACGGTCTGAGTGGCTCCCCTGAGCCGGTCCATGGCAGTCACTCCCTACTCTATCCCGTCAGAAACACAGCTGCTACTACTGAGCCCTGTCAGCTAACTTCAATAACTCTGATCATCTCAAAGGACATGGATAAGCACATTAATTTTTTTTGAAACTGGATTTCTCTGTGTAATATCCCTGGCTGTTCTTGAATGCACCTGTATACCCGGTATACCAGGTTGTCCTTGAACTCACAGAGATCCACTTATCACTGCCTCCCGAAGCCTGGGATTAAAGGCGTGCGCCACCACAACCCAGTGAAGCAATTATGCTTTAAAAAGTTATTATTGCTGTATGTTCATGTTGTGTGTGCTCTCGCACGACCTTTACACACACTCTGTCGCATCCGTCCTCTCCTTCCACCTTTATGTAGGTTCCACAGATCAAAATCAGGTTGTCAGTTTTGCACAACAAGCATTTTAACTGAACCATCTACGTATCAGGAAGTCTGTGCCCTGCACTCAGCCCAAGTGCACAACACTTTCCATGCTCCCCTTCCCCATTCTCCATGCCTGAAGACAATCCTGTCTTCGTCTGCCAGTAAGCAAGAGCAAATGTTTTAATGGTGCAAAAGTAAACAAATCATCAATAGAGAACAGCGGTGGCACTGTACACCTTTATTCCCAGCTCTCAGAAGGCAGAGACAGGTGGATCTTGTGAGTTTGCGGCCAGTCAGAGATACATAATGAAACCTGTCTCAAAAAAAAAAAAAAAAAGAGAAGAAAGAAAGAAAGAAAGAAAAGAAAGTAAGGAAAGGAAAGAAAAGGAAAGAAAGGAAAAGAGAAAAAGAAAAGAAAAAAGAAATTGTGGAAGTGGCCCACCAGTGACTGGTTCAGCTTGAGACCTATACCATGCATACCCACCCACTCCTGACACTGGACAGCCAGGACTCGGAGGCTGGGCAGACCAGGGATCTAGAATAGAACCAACCTAACTGGCAAAAAAAAAAAAGAAAAGAAGAAAGAAAAAAAAGAAAGAAATGATTCCTAATGGTATTCTGCTGTACTCATAGACTGTGCCTAGTCCAGTTGTCTTCAGAGAGGCATCAACCAGCAATAGATGCAGAGACTCACAGCCAAACATTGGGCAAAGGTTGGGGAACCCTGCAGCAGAGTGGGAGGAGGGATTATAGGAGCCAGATGGATGAGAGGAGTCAAGGACACCATAAGACAATCCACAGAATCACTGGAGCTCACGGAGGCTGAACCAGGGAGCCTGTGGGACTGACCTAGGCAGTCTACACATGTTACAGCTGTGTAGCGTGGTCCTCTTGAGGGATTCCCACAGCGGGAGCAGGGGCTGTCTCTGACTCTGATGCCTGCCTTTGTAACCTTTTTCTTCCTAATGAGTTGTTCTGTCCAGCCTGAATACAAGGGGAGGTGCCGAGTCTTACTGCAACTTGGTAAACTATGTCTGGTTGATATCCATAGGAGGCCTGCCCCTTTCTGAGAGAACTGGAGGAGGAGTGGGGGAAGGAGGAGAGGAGGGAGGGAGGGAAACTTCGATAGGGATGTAAAAACAAGCAAAAACATTGGAGATGTAGTCAAGAAAATAAAACGTTGAGGCAAACAGGAAGTATATGGCAGGGGTGGGCCTTGAAACTCACTGTGGAAAAGCAGCAGGAAGTGGCAGAAGGAAAAGTGACTCTGACTCGTGGAGTCACACGTACCTACTAAGCAGAATTCACGAGAAGCCATCTTTTGGAACATGCTCTGGGCTAGGCCCCAGCTGAGCAGCTCTCTCCCGCCTCTGAAGCTGACTCCCTCTGCTCAGCAGATAGCAGACTCATTCTCTCGTGTGGGATGAGGTGGTGCCTGACTCTGGAGAGGCCACCAAGAGGCCAATTTGGTCTCTAAGCTACATTTGCTATCTCTTTGTTTTTCAAGATACCATACAGAAGAGCTATCCCAAAGAAATTAGAGGTTTAAATGTGAAAAATTAACCTCCAAATTATTACTAAAATTCAGGAGACCATTTAGGATCAAAGCAACGGTAATTCAGATCTACCTAATTCAGACCACCCGAGGGCTCTGCTCATGGGCGTTCCTGGATGCGGATGCTGGGCGCCACACAGAGCATCCTCTCACAACCACAGTGGGGCAGGATAAGGGAATGCTAGGCACTGAAACTGGTTCTCTGGGTCCTAATCTCAGAAGTTATATTATCACCCTTGTGTGCAGTTCAGCGATCAGAGCAAGTGCCCAGCTGTCTCCAACTTCAAAAAACACCTCCAAGATGCCGAGAATGACAAGAAAAAGAGGAAATTTATGATAAACCTGATTAATTGAGAAACATTTCTTAAAACCAAAAAAAATCAAAGATAAGCAGAACTGCATGATTATAATAATGTTGTATTAATTAGTTTTCTCATTGCTGTGATCAAAGCATCAACAGGAGCAACTTATGGGAAGGAGGACTGATTTTGGCTCACAGCTCAGGCCATGAGTCCATCAAGAGTCGGGCCTAGTAGTGCAGGCCTTTAATTCCAACACTCTGGAGACAGAGGCAGATAGATCTTGGAGTTCAAGGACAGCCTGGCCTTGGAGTTCAAGGCCAGTCTACATCAAGAGATGCAAGACAGCAAAGCTACACAAATGAACCCTGTCTAAAAA